TCCCCCCCCCCCCCCCCCCTCCCCCTCCCCGCCGTCTCCTGCATCCCCATCTCATTTAGCTAAATATAGCCTGGCGCAAAATGATTTAAAAAATTCGGTCAGAAAAAGTATGACCGAAAAAAATTCTGATTTCCAAAGGAAATCGGGACCGTTTGCGATCAAAATAAAGTTTATCTTTAAAAGTCTCTCAGTCATCAGCTATTTTTTAACCTTTTACAGTTTCGAAAAACCACTGTACTATTTACAAAAACACTTGAATCAGCTGTAATTCACACTTTGATCCTCCAGTTTTTGGCCTATTTAAAGGAATATTCCCGACCTATGTGCGATTAAAAGATTTCAAATTCAACTTTTCTAGTGCAGCAACTCTGCATTTGTTGGGTCACTGAAGTCGACATCTACAACTGACATGCCACAGAGTTGCGCAACGAACAAATTCCTGAACTTCGAGGGCCAGTATGTGATAAATTCTAGCTACTGTGATTCCTTGCAAACTTGCTACGGCACAAAATAATGCAAAAACGCATGATCGCACCGGCCCGCCCGGTGCATCCCAACTTGGGTTATATATTTAGCGTATTTCAAAAATGATGACTTTTTTTTCAAAATCTAAAAAATACCAAAAAATTATGGATAAAATATGCATCGCATTTTACTACCTTCATCGATAACATCTGTGGAACGTGATGCAATCAGACGTATGCAATCTTCGTAACCATTCTGATGAAAAACTTTTTCCGCGCAAACACTCATTGGTTTGAACATCTCCAGTGCCGTAACACGTTCGGCACCTGCTCGAGCGGCCATCATCGAAAGTAGGCCAGTGCCGGTGCCAATATCAATCACATGAACTTCTTCGCCTTTCGCTTTCAACTAAAACAGCATTTTGATAAATTGCTTGAAAAAATTTAATTTTTCAATAAATTCGATATTTTTGGAGTTTTGCAGCAGTACATCTAACATAAATTAGCCAGGATCTTTATGTTTTATTCTGGTAATGGCAAGAAATGTATACGATTTAATGGACCGAAACATTTCTTAACATTAAAATAATTTTATTAATTTTCAAATTTTGTAATTCTCATCTCTTACTTTCCTCTCTTTTCATCTGTTTTTAATACAAGTTCCTATTAATATACATTCTCATTACAGTGATTCAAAAAAATCACAGATCCATAGAAGCATTTCTGCGAAAAGAGCGACAAATTTATTCATTAAATAGGACATATACATATGCCGTGCGCTATATATACAAATTTGAATCTTCACCTCAAACTAGGAAATAGCTCATACCTATTTTAGCACATCTAATGCCATCCAAAAATTATATTCAAAGCGCTTTAACTGAATCAAATTGATTGCTAACAAACGAATCCTGCAACTTTCAATTCGGGAACCACAAAAGCTAGGCGGCTGAAATTTTAGCAGAGTGTTCCCCGCCAATGTGTGACCCCGCAAATTTAAATTCAGCCTTCCTGTACCCGCGAGTAACACGTATGGCTCCGTAAAAGTTTTGGCAGGTAAAATCGTTATCTCGGAAACCGCGGAAGCTAAGGAGCTGAAATATTATGGGTATGTCTTCTGCTCATGTGCGACTTCGCAAAAAAGCTCTGATTTCGCGAGGCTAACTCTCAGTAAGTGGCTAAGTACCCTCAAAATTAGCCCAAGTATCGCAACAAAATCTCAAAGCTGATTGCTACTTATTCGCAAAACTGGCTGCGAATTCTCAAAGTTTCGCAAATCTAGCTTCAATTTCGAAAAAAATCTCAGCGACTGCTCAAACTGAACCTCAACTTTAAACGCTAAAAAGTAATTCGGGGCATCAGGAACCTCACTGATGACGGATTTCAAGCCATGTTCGTATTTCTGATTCCTTTCCGTGTCATGCATCATATCT